CCACCCCTGGTCGGTCCTCCAGCTCCCTTCCCTCCTTCTTTACTCAGTTTACCCATGACCCCTAACCCTGACTTTGCTGACCCTGACCCTGATCCTGCGCTTCTTTAACGTACTGTGTTCCCTTTTCGCCTTTGATTCTTCGTTGTTCTCTGTTGCTGTCCTTTCTCTTCCTGTCGATGTCTGTTCTTCAATGGAACATTCGTGGTTATTACGCCAATTTCCTTGAACTCCAACTTCTGCTTTCACGATTTTCGCACCTTTGTGTCTGTCTCCAGGAGCCGATGCTTGGTGCTCCTCCTGTTCGCTTTCGTGGCTATTCCTTTCTCTCCCCCCCCCCCCTTAGTTGTTGCTGGGGCTCCTAACTCTTCTGCTCTCTTGATTCGCTCTGATGTACTCTTTGTCCCCTTACTTTTTCGTTCGCCTCTCCATTGTTCTGCTGCTTGTATCTTTATGAGAAAATGGTACACGGTTTGTTCCCTTTATCTCCCCCCGAGTGTCCTGCTTTCTCTTCCTGATCTTAAACACCTACTGGACTCCTTGCCGGAGCCTGTGCTCCTGCTAGGTGATTTCAATTGTCGACATACCCTTTGGGGTGATGTTCTGATAAACACCCGAGGTCGCCTTCTTGAACCGTTCATCCTCTCTTCTTCCCTGTCTCTTCTGAATTCTGGTGAGCCCACTCATTTAGACTCTCGGACTCGCTCCCTTTCCTGTCTTGATCTTTCTCTTTGCTCGTCTTCCCTTTACTTAGATTTCGAGTGGCGGGTTCTTGATGACCTCCATGGCAGTGACCATTTTCCCATCCTTGTTTCCTTTTTCTCTTTTCACCCTCCCCTCTCCTTCCCTAGGTGGCAGTTTGCCGAGGCTGACTGGCCCCTCTTTACCGTCCATGCTACTATCTCCGACCTTTCCATTCTGCCTCTCCCTCGCGCCCTCCTTTTTTATGACACCGTCTTCGACGCTGCCCTCTGCTCTATTCCTCACTCTTCCTCTCGGGGAACGCGGAAGTGCGTTTCCTGGTGGAATGTGGACTGTGCTCGGGCTGTCCGCTGTAAGCGTGCAGCCTGGAAGACTTCGTCGCCGGCAGACACCTGAATCATTTCTTTTGTTTCGGAAGGCAAGTGCGGTGGCCCGTAGGACCATCCGTCCGGCTAAACGTGCATGTTGGATGTCTTATGTCTCCACCATCACGTCCGAAACTCCTCTCCTGCTGATCTGGAAGCGTATCCGCAAGATAGCGGGTAAGTTCGTTCCCGATGCTTCACTGGTCCTTCACCTCGGTGGTACTCTTGTGGCGGACCCGTTACAGATTACGACCGAATTGGGTTCCCACTTTTCGTCTGTTAGCTCTGGTTCTCATCTTCCCCATTCCTTCCTTCTTCGTAAGCCTCTTCTTGAATCTCGTCCTTTGGATTTCTGTACCCATCTCAACCTTCCCTATAACGATCCCTTCTCTCTCTCTGAGCTCCAGTCTGCCCTGGCCCTCTGCGGTTCTACGGCGGCAGGCTCCGATGGCATTCATTATGAGATGCTTCGACATCTCCCTCCGTGCTCGTCTCAGTATTTACTGAGTCTGTTTAATCGGGTCTGGGAGTCGTCGTCAGTCCCTGAGGACTGGCTCGATGCTGTTGTCCTCCCTGTTCGGAAACCAGGGTCTCTCGGGTCATCCCCCAAGGACTTCCGCCCTATTGCCCTCACGAGTTGTGTCTGCAAGCTCTTTGAACGTATGGTTAACGTTCGTCTGATGTGGTTCTTAGAGCACTATCACCTCCTTTCCCCTTCTCAATTTGGTTTTCGCAAGTGCCGCAGCACAACGGATGTCCTGGTGAACTTGGAGGTCTATATTCGTACTGCTTTTGCTGCGAAGACCTCCGTTGTTGCCGTCCTTTTTGACCTGGAAAAGGCTTACGACACTACCTGGCGGTATCATATTCTGTCCCAACTTCATTCTTTTGGCCTTCGTGGGAATCTCCCTCTCTTCCTCCAAAGTTTCCTCTCTCGTCGTTCCTTTCGAGTGAGGCTTGGTACCACTCTCTCTGCCCCTTTTCGGCAATATGAGGGTGTGCCCCAAGGTAGTGTTCTGAGCACTACTCTTTTTCTTGTTGCTCTCAATGGTCTTCTTTCCTCCCTTCCTTCTGGCGTCTTCTCCGCTCTCTATGTAGACGATCTTACCCTTTGCTGTCGGGGTGATGATTCGCCTCTCCTTCAACGGCGGCTTCAACTTGCGATTGATGCCATGTCGTCTTGGGCTACCGATCATGGCTTAAAGTTCTCTGCGTCTAAGACTTGTGCTATGACTTTTACTCGGAAGCGTGTCATTCTTCGTCCCTCTGTCTCTTTATGGACATGCCCTTTTGTACAAGGATTCCACTAAGCTTTTGGGGTTAATCTTTGACACTCGTTTGTCTTGGTCAGCTCATATCTCTTACCGCCACGCTGAATGCTCTAAGGCCCTTTCCCTCCTTAAGGTTTTGTCCCATACTTCTTTGGAGGGGGGGGGGGGGCGGATAGGCGTATGCTCCTCTCTCTCTACATTCCTCACTCGTCCTGTCTAAACTCGATTATGGTTGCCCTGCTTACTCGTCCGCTTCTCCTTCTACTCTTCACCGTCTTGATGCTTTGCATCTTGCTGGGTTGCGCCTCAGCTCTGGTGTCTTTCGTTCGACTCCTGCCCTCAGCTTGTATGTTGACACTGGTTTCCTATCTCTTCAGCAGGACCGCCGTGATTGCTACTGTGTTCTCTATTTGGTGTGGTCCTTGCCACATCCTTCCTCTCGCCTCAGTCTTGCTTTGACTTTTACCCCTCCGGTAGTTCCTGTTCCTCTTCACCACCTCTCTCTTTCTGTCCGGCTATCTCGCTTACAGGTCTCTTTCCATTCGTCTTTCTCATATTTCTCCTCGTATTGTTCCTTCCTTGCCCCCGTGGAGGGTCCCCCTTCCGAAGTTTTGTACATCCTTGACCCGCATTACTAAAGCTTTTACTCCTCCTACGGTTCTGAAACGCCTTTTTCTTGAGCACTTTTCTTCACACTCCCGCTCCGTTTCCATCTTCACCGATGGGTCTAAGTCTGCGGATGGTGGGCTACTCCGTTGTTTTTCCTGACCGCACTTGTATGTGTCGCCTTCCTTCGGAGACTAGCATCTTCACAGCTGAGCTTTATGCTATTCTCCATGCCCTCCATCTCCTGCTTTCTCGTTGTCAATCCTCCTTTGTGATTGTCGTTGACTCTCGTAGTGCCCTCATGGCTCTCGGGTCCTTTAATCCTGTCCATCCCGTTGTCGTCGAGATTCAACATTGGCTGTTTCTTATCTCTAGTAAATTTAAATCCGTGGAGTTTTGCTGGGTTCCCAGCCATGTTGGTGTTTCTTTAAATGAGCGTGCGGATGCTGCCGCTAGAGAGGCTATCCGCTCTTGTCCCATTTCCTGTAAAGGTATTCCTTTTTCCGACTTTTATCCGGTTATTCATTCCTCCATCCTTGCCCGTTGGCAGGGTTGTTGGTCTTCTGTTGTTGGTAACAAACTGCGTACTCTTAAGCGTTGTGTGTCCCCGTGGCCTTCCTCCTGCCACTGTAACCGGCGGTGGGAAACGGCTCTAGCGCGGTTGCATCTTGGCAATACTCGCTTAACTCACGGTCACTTAATGGAGCGCCGCTCAGCTCCTTATTGTCCAAATTGCTTTGTCCCTCTTACCATCGTGCATATCCTTGTTGAATGTCCTGACTTCCAGGACGAGCATGTGTCTTGCTTTCCGACCGCCCCTCGCGGTCACTTGTCCCTCGATAGAATTCTTGGTGAATCGGATAATTTTGATATCGTTCGACTTGTGCGTTTATTCTCTTATTGGCATCGTTAGTGATATTTAGCGCTCTCTGATTATTCCGCACATATGATGGTGCCTCATAGCCTTCTCTCTTTTTTACTTATTTCGAGTGTTGATATTTGATATTGTTGTATTTGTTTAGTTAAGGCGTATAGTACATTTTTTTGTTTAATTTTGTGTGATATTGATGTTTCTTACAAGGTTTCAGCCAGTATTCTATAATTGTTTTAATTTGTGTTTTTTATCAATTTTCTGGAAGTGTTATTATTATTAAAATTTTGTAATTAGCTTGTGAAAATCAAGAGGTTTTACTTTGGCTAATTCAGGTAAGTTTAACAATGTGTTTTGTTTTGTAACTAGTGCTGTTTTTTATATCTTCGTATAGGTATTTTTGTTCAGTATGAGTTCTTTGTTTCTTATTTTATTGTGACTTCTGTATTTTTTTTAAATCTGATGATGAATACGTAAAATATTCAAAACGCCAGGAATTTTACTTAGAAGTAAAGAATTAACAAGATGTGTGTTATATCAATGGTTTTCCTATTCATTTTGAAATTAAGATTCCCGAAGGGAACATCTGAAAAAAACATCTAATATATTATATATATATATATATATATAATATATATATATATATATATATATATATATATATATATATATATATATATATATATATAAACACACACACACACAAGAGTTCTTACATTCTTGTACAGCCACTAACACACATAGCGTTTCGGGCAAGTCCTTAATCCTATATTCCCTGGAATACGACCCGCTAAATCGTTTAACAACCAGGTACCCATTTTATTGTTGGTTAAACAGAGGCTACAGTTAAGGTTTGGCGCCCACTAAATCCTCCCTGACCAGGATACGAATCCAGGCTAATGCCCTCACGAACCCCCAGGCGAGCCTCTTACCACTTCGCCAGGCTAGCAGTCCTAACACAGGGACTGCTGTTATATTTCTGTAGTTCCTCCACGCTCTTGTATTTAATAATTTTGCTTCTATACAACCCATTAAATGACGGATTCAACTTTTGCTTCTCATTTTTTCCCCCCTTTTGTACCTTTTTTCCATCTACATGATGATAGAATTGTGTAAACATTGCCATATTTGTTACTCTAGCAGTTTGTATGGAAGGGTAACCCTAACAACTGATCTTGCTCACTGCAGGTTGCTGGCCTCGACTCAATTCGAGGCGACGGACGCCAGGAGAGCCTTCCCGTGTTTCGACGAACCCGCCATGAAAGCTACCTTTGAGATCTTCCTCGCCCGAGAGGCTTCCATGTCCTCAATATCAAACATGCCGAAATATGAAACCTTCCCTGTGTAAGAAATTAAACGTCCTATGTTATAGTTTAATTAAATGAATATCTATTGATATTGTTTGAAATAAAGGAATGTGTGTGTAAATATATTAACAACGGAACTACTTGGTCAGCGAGGGCCAGGAGGGGTGGGAGTGGGACCACTTCAACACCAGCGTGCCAATGTCCACCTACCTCGTCGCCTTCGTCGTCTCTGACTTCGTGCACGCCGACTCTAATGTCAATGATCACGTTCTCTTCAGAGGTAGGTAATGTTAACCGTCATGTTCTCTCAGAGGAAGGTAATGTTTACCGTCATGTTCTCTCAGAGGTAGGTAATGTTAACCGTCATGTTCTCTCAGAGGAAGGTAATGTTTACCGTCATGTTCTCTCAGAGGTAGGTAATGTTAACCGTCATGTTCTCTCAGAGGAAGGTAATGTTTACCGTCATGTTCTCTCAGAGGTAGGTAATGTTAACCGTCATGTTCTCTCAGAGGTAGGTAATGTTAACCATCATGTTCTCTCAGAGGTAGGTAATGCTAACCGTCATGTTCTCTCAGAGGAAGGTAATGTTAACCCTCATGTTCTCTCAGAGGAAGGTAATGTTTACCGTCATGTTCTCTCAGAGGTAGGTAATGTTAACCGTCATGTTCTCTCAGAGGAAGGTAATGTTTACCGTCATGTTCTCTCAGAGGTAGGTAATGTTAACCGTCATGTTCTCTCAGAGGAAGGTAATGTTTACCGTCATGTTCTCTCAGAGGTAGGTAATGTTAACCGTCATGTTCTCTCAGAGGTAGGTAATGTTAACCATCATGTTCTCTCAGAGGTAGGTAATGCTAACCGTCATGTTCTCTCAGAGGAAGGTAATGTTAACCCTCATGTTCTCTCAGAGGAAGGTAATGTTAACCCTCATGTTCTCTCAGAGGAAGGTAATGCTAACCGTCATATTCTCTCAGAGGAAGGTAATGTTAACCCTCATGTTCTCTCAGAGGTAGGTAATGTTAACCGTCATGTTCTCTCAGAGGTAGGTAATGTTAACCGTCATGTTCTCTCAGAGGAAGGTAATGTTAACCATCATGTTCTCTCAGAGGTAGGTAATGTTAACCGTCATGTTCTCTCAGAGGAAGGTAATGTTAACCATCATGTTCTCTCAGAGGTAGGTAATGTTAACCGTCATGTTCTCTGAAAGGTAGTTAATTCCAACCTTCACGTTCTCTGAGATAGGTAATGCCTGTGGGATTATGTGGAAAAGTTAATCCATCATTCTTTGATTCAAGCGGATTGTATTCAATGGTAATTTGTTCCACATAATTTCTACAGTGGGGGGTTTAAATTATAGTAATTAATTAAATTCAGGTCATCTAGTGCTCGTTATTTTTATGTTTAATTTGAGAAATAAAATGTATTTATTATGAGAGACTAGATTATCTAAACAATGGTAAGTAAAATGAATGAATCTTATATAGCTAGGAGAATCCATAGACCAGAGCATGCATCAAGTGATACAGGTCTGCTGATGTCCGATTCGTTACCGCTGGGACAACATGTGGGGAATTTTTCCTTGCAGGAATTTATTTTATTAATTTATGTATTAATTTACTTTAATTCATTATTAATAATTAAAATGGATTATGATTTTAATGTGGACTGCATTTTATTAATTTATCCTGCTAGGTGTTGTCCTACTCACAAGTTTGAGGGGTTTTATGTGCGTAGCCTATCACACCAAGTTATGGATAATGGCAATAAACTACTGTATATTAATTCTACAGTTAAATGGATTAGTAAAATATAACTATTTCTTATCTAGTGAGTCGATATCGCCTGGTAATAGGCACTGGGCATCATTCAGTCAAGTGTGTGGGACCGCGTTGGGCGGGGCCCGAATGACGACTGTGAAAATGTGTGTCGTGTGTCCTCAGGTTGACTCGAAGGTATTTCCTCCTCTCTTGAACTACACCTGTCGAGTAACTTAGTAGTAAACTGTTACCATGATACATAGAATATATATTCAGAGGAATTATATAATTGAGACAAGGTTTACCAGTTCCGGGTGTCTCGGAGGCATCATCTTGAGGTTATCTTGAGATGATTTCAGGGCTTCCCCGCGGCCCGGTCCTCGACCTCCACTCCCAGGAAGCAGCCCGCAACAGCTGACTAACACCCAGGTACCTATTTACTGCTAGGTAACAGGAGCATAGGGTGAATTGTTTCACCCTATGCTCATTGCCCATTGTTTCTCGCCGGCGCCTGGGATCGAACCCAGGACCACAGGATCACAAGTCCAGCGTGCTGTCCGCTCGGCCGACCGGCTCCCCGGATCATAACCGGATTGCAAAAATAATCAATTCTACTGGCCAATAAATTGATATATCTTAATAGTAGACCGGGTACAATACTTCCCAGGGTTTGGTGAGTTCGTCGGTTGGGCGGAAACTTTGATATTCCTAGGGGGGCCTGACAGCCGAGTGAATAGCGCTTCTGCTTTGTAGTTCTGAGGTTTCGAGTTCGATTCCCGGTAGAGGCAGAAACAAATGGGCAGAGTTTCTTTCACCATGGTGCTCTTGTTACCTAGCATTAAATAGGTATCTGGGAGTTAGACAGCTGCTACGAGCTGCTTCCTAGGGGTTTGTAACAACAAGGCCTTGTCAAGGTCCGGGCCGCAGAGACGCTAAGCCCCGCAATCATTATGTGACGTTGGTTTCTTTCAAGGCGATCTGTTTGGTGTCTGGAGAGTTCTTCATGAGTAGGTTGGCCGTTTTCTTTGTGTTTGTGTTAAATTGTCAAATGTATCTTTTGATTTCTGTCTGTGGGGATAACGTTCCTATTAATAATATCTTTCAAGGCACTTTGATCAGTTTTATGAGCCGTCGAAAAGAAGTTCCTGTAAAACAGTGTAATAGGAGGTACAAGTGTTGTGTTAGTTGACTCTTTAACTTTAGAGAGTTGACTCTCTAGGCAGTCTCCGTGGTGTAGTGGTAAGACACTCGCCTGGCGTTCCGCGAGCGCTATGTCATGGGTTCGTGTCCTGGCCGGGGAGGATTTACTGGGCGCAATTCCTTAACTGTAGCCTCTGTTTAACGCAACAGTAAAATGTGTACTTGGATGAAAAAACGATTCTTCGCGGCAGGGGATCGTATTCCAAGGACCTGCCCGAAACGCTACGCGTACTAGTGGCTGTACAAGAATGTAACAACTCTTGTATATATCTCAAAAAAAAACTAATGGGTTGAAGTAAGGGTTGACTCGCTGAAGCGTCAACTAACACAACACTTGTACCCGGTGTTCAGTATTTTGTAATTGCTTGGATGGTACACGTGGCGTCTGGCTCAGCTGGTGCAATTGACAGTACAGTTAATGGTTTTATCACGTTATGGTGCTTATTAATAAATTTGCTTAGTCTTTGGAACTTCACTAGTTAATTTTGAAAGAACTAAAGCTAACAGTTCCTGAAATTTTAGAAAAACACTTGAGAACATGAGGAGACACGACACCAGGGTGTCATGGTGTCTTGATCAGTGCTGATATGACGGCCGACCTATTGACAAAGGAGCGTTACCTGGAACTGAAGCAATGCTTCAGTTATCAGTACTCCCGCTACACCGGCAAGTGCACACTGTACACGCCGAAAAGCAGCATATGCGCCGAGTTCCCCCACAACTACATTGTCTGCACAGCCACCCACCAGAAATACCTTCTCTGCAAAGATCAACATTCCGTTGTCTCCCCAAACTGCCCTCGGAAGGAGGAGATCAAGAACATGATGGAACACTTGGCCCACACCTAGACCCACCAACCAGCATGCTGCTGCATTCCCGGCCCTACCCGGGAACACACCTGTGGCTACCTCACCGCCACCGGTCTCTGGGGACGAAATACCTAGCCAACCCCACCAATGCTGCCCACGCCATCACCGGCCAAACTTACAGACTCCACCAACAGCAGCCTGCTACCCTTCCTGCTTCACCTTGCCGACAAAATGGCCGGCAAAGACGTCAACCTCCACGTCCTCACCATCAACCGGCTGCTCAACTCTAATAAACTTCCGACTGGAAGCCCAGTGACTTCCTCCAAGCTACTCCTGCAACCCCCAAGACAACTCTGGAGCTCATTTCAGAGTCCGCAGAGGAGCGCGCACCAACAGTAACATCCGCAGCACCGTTACCAACCCGACCTAAATCCCAGAAAAAACAACAGCCTGGTATTCTGCTCTAACGCATGTGACCTCGACTTTATACAGGAACAAAAACTTAAGGAGACCCAGGATATAAACGAAGGATTCGAGGAAGAACGAAAACTGAATGACCCAGAGCGCGAGAAATGGTACGTCGATACAGAGAATGTCAGTTATTGCTGTGACCTGTTTCCACTCAACCTTTACGTCATCGACCCTAGTATCTACGACAAGTTCCCTGGACATGTTCAGGTGACTGGAGTGGTGACCAGAAGTCAAGAACAGGAGGTGACAACAAAGGAAACACCAAAGAAGAAACCAAAAAAAAAAGAAAAAACGTCTGAGGAACTCCACCAAGACGCTGGAATATCAAGGAGACAAGGGTATAATTGAAATGCTGCTCGAATGACAAGCCCGGCCCCCTGCGAGACATATATTGTGAGAAACCAAGACGACCCCGTTCATCCACCAATCTACAGCAACAGCCGTATGTCTTTCCGACGGTGGTTGGGCCACTGAGCTGTATCCCCCTCCTCCAACTCGTATCCTGTTCCTTGCTCAAGTTTTCTGCAACCTCGTCCTAGCCTTCTGCCCTCTGATTACCAGCTCTATGGTCTTGTAATTTAAGGGGTCTTTAACAAGTAAGTTACAAATGCTTTGCATTAATTATTTTTTTGTATATTAAACTAGCTGTACCCGCCACGCGTTGCTGTGGCTCAGTCTGGTTAAATGGAAAAGAAAGAAAGGAGAAAGTGCACGTTTCTAATATGTTTAATTTCACAACGCTTGTGGGTATACAATATTTTTTGCTGTGCCATTGTCTGTGGAGATATAGAGATTGTCTGGTTCCCGACTCTAGAACACGCAAAATATAATTGTTCCTATGAGAAGCAATCCGTGTCTAGATATAAAGCGCACAGTTCTAAAGATTGGCCCTGAGCTTTATTGATAGTGATTGCAAACGCCAATCGAATTGGAAATTACAATATCTTAAATTGAAATGGCATATCTGTTAGAATCATAGGAATGCGAGGAATGAGGACATCTTCACCTTTGAAAGGTCCTGTCAAGACTGTAGCTTATGCGACCTT